AAGGTATGCCTTGACAGTCGTAGAAGGTCTGCTGGCAATGGCGCGCTGCCAATATGCCTGGTCCTCGAAGACAGTTGCGAAGTTGCCGATGAGGTTTATAACACCGAAGATGAGGCCGTTTTTGGAGCGGAGAGTCAGGTATGAACCGCCAGCATTACCGGCTACAGGTGAGATCTTGGATACCTCATCCAATAGATGGTGCATGCGACTGATGGAACCAATGTAGCTTGAGGTTGCATATACGGTGAACATAAATGTCAAGATGATGGCGAAGAGGACGGTTGTATGAGTACTGGAGATAAAGGTATGAGTAAAGGTATATGACATGTACGACATCCACCTACTAATCACAAAGGAGTGTGGAACGCATTCCACCGACGACGACATAAATGGAAACACCCAGTGGGATCAAGAAACACGCAGCGATAGTGCTCATCCCAGTCAAACTTGTCACAGTAGCCGAACCACCCAAAATAAGCATTGAGGAAACGATCAAGTTTGTCGCAAGACCAAAAAACATGAAGAAAAGATGCGCTGTAGTTCCCCAGCGCGCTGCAACAATCTCGAGCCAGGTGTGTGCATAGGGAGCATTGAGCTTTAGCTTCGCGGCAAGCTGCGCGAACAAGAGGACCTGTACTGTCGCACCTGCGGCATACCACCATGGACCCGAAATGCCATATCTATAAGCAACTGCACTAGATTGGAGCTAAGTGATATCGCCCGCTAAGCCATGTGTGGATATGGATGTTGAACATGGACATACTAGTGTTGCTGCCCATGTCCAAGCAGAGACAATGCCAGAAGCAATAAGCCCAGGCTTCACTGAGCGCGAAGCAGACGAAAACTCCTCGGACTCTGTGGGAGAGACGCCCGTGTAGCGTGACTGCATAGCAGTCAAACCCACCATGAAAGCACTGAAGAACAGTCCGATCCCTAGACGTCTTGAGCGAATGATAGAAGACAGATTACAATGTATCTTACCGATGACTGACAATGTTATTGGAGATGAGTGTTTAAAACATGTGAATTAGAAACCAACTCACCGACGCCATAGCCTGCACCTTGGGGGAGAACTTCACTGGTCGACATGCGGGCAAATGTGTCCAGAAAGTGGCTCAAGACCTTATCTCATTTATACCAATAGCTGCAGTTATTTGATCTATCCAACCTCGGAGTATTATCACTGACGAACTTGGTTTTTGCAGATATAAACAGTTCTGATAATCAAAGTTTAAATACCAGATTTGTGACAAGGACAGCCTGAGCATAAGAACATCATGTTCCGATTCTATTTCAGCACCACGCGCTAGTGGATGTTTGGAACCAAACACTGATCGGACATTCGAATCCGTGCTTCGCGGCAAGTGCAAGTGTTCCACTGGCAATACTACAGTTCACTTCTTCCTTGAATTCTGGACCAACAACTTTCCAGCCACTGTGGGAAGTAAAAACGCTGAAAATCAGTGTATAGAATACTGAAAGTCAGCGTCCAAAACACTGACTTTCAGAGTTTCTGTATTATGACCACAGTCCATGCTCGAACAAGAAGATAGGTTGCGCGAGAATTCAGTACCTGGAACCCTGAAAGTGACATTTTTCAGTGTCGAAGACACTGAGATTGGATTGACGGCACACTGAATAGCACTGAGTAAAACACTGACATTGTGATGTTCGTGGTACTGAAAATAACGACTCGAGACGCTGAAAATCATGCAAGATCTCACTGTAAATTCACCATTTGTGACGCTGAATCTTCATGAGTATCATTACAATATACACTGGATGAGTGCGAGAACAAGACATATACATTATGAATAAAAATTGACATAACAATAACAAGTCTGTGCGTGAAATTCCGAAAGGCGTGCGAGGAGTCCAAGTTGACAGTGTTCGTGAGGTGAGTCCAACAATCGAGTCCACAACGAAGAGTCCAGTGCGAGATGAAGTCAGGTGTGCTTGAAAAAAGAGGTTAGTGGTGCCGGGTGCATTTTCTTTTGAAGGTGGGACCCTGTAGTAGAATCGACCGGCAAGGTGAGCATACTCAGCCAGCATTGGAAGAAATACGCACTGGAATAGGCTCTTCCTCAATGGGCATGACCGCTGCCTTGGTTTTGCTGCGTGTCCGTTTTCGAGCAGGGGACTGAGACATGAGTGGAGATGACAGGGTAATCAAATATACATGAGCATAAAAGCACTCACTGGCGGTAGTGGAGTCAGTTGAGAGAGTGCACTGTCTGGTGGACGGGAGGCCGTAGTTGAGCAGTCAGAAGAGGACTGCATGGTATTGGGGTGTTGAGATGGTCCAGGTTGTGGAAGTGTAGCCTGTTCATTGTGATGGATAGACGGTCAGTGAATGTCTGAAAATACAAATGAAAGCACCTCTATGAGCTGAAGTGTTGCCCGGCGCAACCTTGGCGGACCACCTTTACTAGACTGGTTGTCATGAATAGCGACTCTGGTGTTGGACTTTGAGCGCTGGATGTTGGTCCTGTAGATCTGGTCTAGTTCCTCGTCCGAGTCAAGAGCAGGATGCAAGTCGATTCCAGCTGATCTACTATCCAGCCGAATGGTGTGAGCTTCTGCGATGGTGATGCCGAACCTGTGTGCAATTGCACTGGTAGCGACGTATGGGACAAGAATAAAGTCTGTGAACTTTTTGACGTCGAGTGGGCGAATGGCGTTGAGTGGGAGAGTTGATGTCCGAAACATTCCTTCGAGCGCATGAGCAATGATGTGCTCTCCTTTTGGACCATAGCTGCAAGAATGAAAGTTATCAGCAATTGTCAAAAGCCAAGTACAACACTCACAAGCCGGCTGTTGAAAAAATGTAGATTGAAGAAGAGACACCTTTCCTGTCCCTTGTGAACGCATGAAGACACGCCTCCTCGGTATTTTCTTTGTAATACTGGGAAAGACAGTCGAGAAATGACTTCCAGACGATATGTTCAGCTCGAACACCTCGATCTGAAATGAGTGCAGCGATGTCAGCTTCCAATGACCATGTAAAATCATTTAGTGCAACAAAATCAGGTGATACCGGCCAACCACGCAGAGTGATATCTCGACGTCGCTGCGCCAGACGGTTCTCAGATTTGATGGCAGAACAAATGTAGAGCGTAGTACGAAGGACGTTGCGAGTGTCATCACCATCCCGCTGAATGAAGGCAGCGCGGTCATGGAACAACTTGACAAGCTCGGCTGACAGGACAGTAGGGACATGGTCTTCACAATCATCATCTGGGCAGAACTTTGGGATGTCTTTGCTGTGCTGGGATCCAGAATGTGGTGCTGGTGTGTCTTCATGGACATCACGACGTGCTGGCTCGGATGAGGTCTTTGCTTTGGGTTTGATAGGCCGGGGGCGTGGCTAGGGGCAGGTTACATACTATTTGAGATTAAAAAATGCACGAACGGGCATACCTTTGGAGGAATCTTCGACACTGTCTTCGATGATGATGTCGAAGGAGCCTGGACTTGTGGCTGACCAACACCAGATCATGGAGGTAAGTTACACATGGGTTTGTCGAGGTCACTTACTGGTGTTGTTGCCATGGCAGTCTCACCGCTACTACGAGGCTGTGGAGCCATGGTCTTGGCCTTCTTACTGGTTCTTGTGACTTTGGATGTACCGCTAATACGAGTCTTGGCTGCTGTCGTGGGCCTTTTGTTTACCTGAGGGTCAGTGCGAGGTGCTTGGAGTGCCTCCTTTGCCCATTTGGCTTCTGAAGGGCCGTAAGTGCAGCCAAGCAACATAATATGAGTGCAGCTCACTCAAAAAATCCTCGACTCGTTTCTTGAAGAGCTCTGCAATATCAGCAGGCAGACCTCCCTCACTTCCTGGCCCAATCTCCTCGGAGTCCAATTCTTCATCTGATCCAGGGTCCGTCTCGCTACTATCATCTGAGTCAGAGTGAGCTGCAGGAGCTGGCAACTTCGCACGGCCGGTGGATGTATGCGTCCGAGTCGACTTGTTATGGCTTGAGAGTGTGATCTATATAAAATGAACAGTCAATGGTCAAATGACAGGCCATTGTTACATACCTTGTTTGAGCTGGGCGCGTCATAACCCATCCTTCTCCTATAGTTGGCGTGATTTCGTAAGAATTGTTGCAAAAAATCTTTGACGGGCCAGCCGTCCTTAAAGTGTGTGAGGTATGGGATTTCGAGCATGGCCTATTAGTATCATTAGCGCATATATGCATGTAGGAGGACAAAAAATATGTACCAATGTGATTATGGTGCCTAGTAGCGTTGGCGGCTGGTATCTAATGGTGGTCTCGAGGCGTAGACCATTGTCCTTGGCAATTTCGATGATCTTGTACTTCAGAATGTCTGTGAGAATCCACACAGATAGAAAAAAAATGCTTACTCGAATTTTCTTATACACGGTATCCCTATCATCCAGATTCATAGCGTGCTGTAAATTGAAATGTCGTCCGGCAGTGCCATCAGGACGCATAATTGCACCCTTCTTCTGACACGCCTTGAGTTTCTTGCGGGCCTCTTTCTCACCTAGATTTTTCGCAGTTAGGACATTTGACTAGTGCTAACATAGGACTTACGCATCACATGTTGTACCTCCCGCTCATTGGCATCAACTTGCCTCTGTAGTGCTCGGAATTTCTTCTTGGTTCCTAGAGAAGGCTTGTTAATAGTCCGTGTGTGAGGCATGGTTAGTGGTAAGTGGTAGGGGTTATTTACGTGTTGTTTGCATCAACCGAAGCCAATGTTTGGTTGTGTTAATGGTCACGTGATCATTACAACCGAAATTTTCACCAAGACTGGTTGAATTCTAAGTATGTACACACGTACGAATACGACTTGTTCAGCTCCAAACTGGAGGCGATACATACAGTGCGGCTTGGAAGCTGGCACGGACGCCAATGGTTCGGGTGTAGCAAGTTGTACTAGTACTGTGAGATGTACAAGTTCTCCGACTTGCCCCCCCAAACTCGCTTTGCGCAGGTGCGAACTCCTAACCCTAACCCTAAGCTTGCTCAATGGCTGCAGCCCGTGGAAGGGAGTTCCTCCTCACCCTCCTCAGTGAACTCTCCTTACTCGTCTTACAAGAGTTCGGTTGCCAAATCCGCCTATTCATTCATGGTGGTGCAGTGACCCTATGCTGGCCCATGGGCTACAACACCTACAAACCCCAGCAAGCGCAGGAACTACGAAACCGTATCCACGACGCAGTGCACCATCTGCAAAAGTTATCTGACACTTTGCCAGAGGAGTCATCCCACATGGCGCTGAGCCAATCAGCCGCGCAGTCGCCTCCTGTGGCATCAACCACACGCTCTCCTGCTGCACTCTGCTCGTTGCATACGATGTCAAGCATCTTAGCCCCACACTCGTTTTCACAGCTGGCGTCGGCGTCCTCGTTGCATTCTCTTTACATGTCGTCCCACAGCGTTTCGCCTCCCGCATTTATGGGGGAGCGTACGCGCCGGTCATCGACGACCTCTGCACGACATCAGACCTTTTCACCCGTCCTCGCATCTTCACCCGCCCTCGCATCTTCACCCGCCCTCGCATTCTCACCCAACCTCACATTCTCACCCGCCCTCACATTCTCACCCAGCCTCCCAATCTCACCCGGCCTCCCAATCTCACCCGGCCTCGCATATTCCCCGGCCTCGCATTTGAATACATACGGTGAATCAGGTACGTTTTATGTTCATTTCATCACTCATCCCCTCAAACTCATTCTCCCGCATACAGGTCCTCCATATCCAACTCTTCTTCGATCTCTCCTTTGGCACACTCCAGCGCTCCTCCCTCACCGAGCCTCCAAGTGCTTCGACACCCTCTGCGCCTCCGGGCGTTTCATGCTGCCCTACGCCTTTGCCTTCGCCAATTCTAGCACCAGATGCTGCCCTATGCCTTCGCCTTCGCCAATTCTAGCACCAGATGCTGCCCTATGCCTTCGCCTTCGCCAATTCTAGCACCAGATGCTGCCCTATGCCTTCGCCTTCGCCAATTTTAGCACCAGATGCTGCCCTATGCCTTCGCCTTCGCCAATTTTAGCACCAGATGCTGCCCTACGCCTTCGCCTTCGCCAATTCTAGCACCAGACAGTACCACTCAACCTGTCGCCTCAAGCGATGCAGTATCGAGCAGCTGCGGCGACATCGCAAGATACTCCATCAAGTCCTCAGGGCCGAAGTCTCGGTCTCACACTACGAGATGTACTCTCGCCACGCAAATGAGCTAGTGATTAATCTCTTGGATGCCGTTAGTGACCCGCAGCATCAGACTGAAATGTTCGTACCTGATCCAGCGATGTCGTGGTGTTGGATGGTCCAGTTGACTATCAATCTTTGTGACAGATACGCGGCGTCCCTAATCATTGACGAGAATCCGGCATCTTAGTTGGCATGGACACTGTGAGTCGCTACTCAAGCAGTCCTGATTCTTACTCTGATGTCCCGCAGAGTGCAGCCGCATTGCAGATATCACTGAAACCTATTTGAAGGGAATCATGAAAGATCCAAGGCATGGGGTACAAAATCCTTATACTTTTCCTCACCCTGAGTGTTTGATTTGGACTATCTTATTCTAGGCGGTGAAATACTTGACCAGTCTGTTTCCAATCTTTGGATGGATCACCCGATACAGTGAGATAATTCATTCTCCCTTTGACAAGCTCAGCCTGCTAATCGTATACGTCTTCAGATTTGGGATGGCTCACTGGCGACCTTATTGCTGGTCTTACCGTAGGAATGGTGCTAGTCCCACAGGGCATGTCATATGCAATAGTAATATTCCATCTTGACCCTTGTTCTCGTTGATTGACAAGCCTTCGTAGCTTGCATCGCTTCCTGCACAGTATGGTCTGTATTCCTCCTTCGTCGGCGTCCTTGTATATTGCGTACGTGCACGCTACTTTGGATAATTGCGGCGCTAAATTTACTCGTAGTTCTTTGCGACTTCGAAAGATGTTTCTATCAGACCAGTGGCAGTTATGTTGCAAACTGTGGCTCAAATCATCATTGCTGTAGACGCACAGTACCCTGGTAAATGGGCTAGCCCACTGATAGCCACCACGTTGGCCTTTGTTTGTGGATTTATCGTACTCGGGATTGGCCTCTTGCGCATCGGTTGGATTGTCGAGTTCATACCCGTACCAGCAGTCAGCGGGTATATGACTGGATCTGCGATAAATATAGTTGCAGGTCAGGTTCCCGCCCTCTTGGGCATTACCGGGTTCAGGCAAGGGTGTCAGTCATTTCGAACGAAACGCAATTTATGACATTTCATAGTACTCGAGCTGCCACATACGAAGTTATCATCAATACTCTCAAGGGACTTCCCGGTACGAAAGTGCGCCTGTCATCGATAGCGAGCTCGTCAAAGCTCTCGGGCCACAGATCCCTGTTGCCACCATAATTCTCCTTCTTGAGCACATCGCCATTGCCAGATGTAAGTCACCAATCATCTGACCGTTATGCCCTTTTGACACACTACTTGCAGCATTTGGACGGGTCAATGGATACAAGATCAATCCCAACCAGGAGCTCATCGCCATAGGCGTGACGAACATGCTTGGCACTATATTCCATGCGTATCCCGCTACAGGATCGTTCTCCCGTTCTGCCTTGAAGTTGAAGTCGGGCGTGCGGACTCCTCTGGCTGGTATCTTCACTGCGATGGTTGTCATCGTTGCTCTCTATGGCCTTACCCCAGCCTTTTACTGGATCCCTAGCGCTGGTCTTTCGGCCGTCATCATCCACGCGGTCGCTGATCTTGTCGCGTCACCTTCCCAAGCATTCTCTTACTGGCGCGTATCCCCCCTCGAGTTTCTTATTTGGTTGGCTGCAGTCCTGGTCACCGTCTTTTCGTCTATTGAGAACGGCATCTACATCTCCATCTCGGCATCGTTTGCCTTACTTCTGGTTCGCGTCGCACACCCTAGGGGATATTTCCTTGGGAAGGTTACCCTGACACGCAACTCAACTGAATCACGAGAAGTCTTTGTTCCGTTGCGCAAGGATGGCATAACCAACCAATATGTCAAGGTATAAATCGATAGATATCACGCACCCAGCCGCAGGCGAGCACAACAGCACGCTCATCCTCGCGCACGTCAAGTACTTCCATGTACCTTCCTGCGTTCGGAGGAGGCGTTCGGCCGCGTTTTGACTCCAGTGCAACGATGAGTATCCAGTCGATCCCGAGCCATCAACCAGTGAGCCTTCTCAGCATTCATTCGGTTCTGCGCCTGATGGTGTGCTCGTATTATCCTTTCTTACTTACTTGAAATTGACACTTCACGCGACATGCGTTGTATGAACATCCAGAATAGAAATTGTTTACCTAAAATGTGATGCTAGAACAACGATAGGACGCCGTTCCTGGATGTACAATGGTTTCACCACTGATCACACTTTCACCACTTCCTCACCACGATTACTTGCTTGAACATTACTTGATACTGTCATTTATTTTCCACAATGTCCAACAAAAAAAGAAAGTATTGCCATTGCTCTCTTGAATGCAGACGCCTTCTCAGTTATCGCCAGCGACTCCGTCACTACAAAAAAGCAAAACTTATCAATCTATCACCTTCCGTTTCCCCCACGGAATCATCGGAAGATCCACAGACAATAAATCTAGAGCCTGAGATTCACGCATCCAATGCACCTGGTGATGTGAGCATGAGCGAGCATGATGAAGACTCAAGCCCAAACTATTCAGATCAGGAGTCTGATGAAGATGCTGCGAGTAATCTGAGTCACGCAGACGAAATTGTTCCATATGATGAAGAAGAAGAAAATGATGGTGTAGACGAGTTAGATGTGAGAGGTGGCCATATAGATGCTGAGATTGAGGCACTGCATCATTCACTTTGTAAGTTTAATCGCTACTGGAAAGTATTTACTAGTAACAAATGAGATTAAATATAGGCAATACCTTGTTGACAGAGCAGGATAGAGATAACCTCCGTGCTCACAGTCTCCGCATCAAGAGTCATATGCCGCGTGCGACATTCAATGAACTGCGGGAGAAGTTTAGTCACAAGATGGACATCGACTCCGAATATAAGATGCTCAAGCGTTTCGAAGGACTCACTACTATCACGCCCATGAAAATAGATTGCTGCATCAATTCCTGCATTGCATATGCTGCAAGATACAGTCACAGTGATTTATGTGACTTCTGCGGAGAAAGACGTTTTGATGTTCAAGGGAAGCCTAGACGTCAATTTTCCTACATGCCGCTGGTCCCTCAATTGCAGGGTCTGTTTGCCCGAGAAGATACAGTGGAAAAACTCTTATACCGCCATCAATATGACAGCAGCCCCCATACCATCAATGATGTCTTTGATGGTGAGATCTATCAGTCTCTCCGGGACAAGTTCGTGCTGGTGGATGGCGTTCAGAAAAACTATAAGTACTTCTCTGGAAAAAATGACATCGCATTTTCCTTAGCAACTGATGGATATCTACTGTTTGGACGATATCGCAAGGGGCCTTCTGCGACACCAATCCTTATCCAGATCTACAACTTTCCCCCCACTATACGCACCCACCACGAACATCTGATTTGCCTTGGAGTCATTCCAGGACCAAAATCTCCAAAAGATATTGCATCCTTCCTCGTCCCATTTGAGAACGAGTGTGCCAAACTCGCCAATGGCGCACTCACCTTTGATAGCCTTGGGAAGCAAATGTTCTGGCTCCATGCCTACAACATTTTCAAGCTTGGTGATATCCTTGCGATAGAAAAACTACTGGAAATCCGTGGCCATAATGGCTTTGCACCATGTCGGTCATGTCTGATCACTGGTGTTCGAAATAAGTCTGCAAATAAGACTAATTACTATGTCCCATTAACTCCCCCTACTCAACCTAATACTCCGAACCTACACTGGGACCCCCTTCAGCTCCCCCTTCGCAGCCATGCTCATTTCGAAGAGGTACTGCAAGAGATGGACGATGCAGACACTGCTGCGGAGAAGGAGAGGATTGGCAAGAAAAATGGTCTCCGTGCAGGCCACCTTCACCTTTCTGACAGACGGCGAGTAGGGTCAATTGACTTTGCCAAGTCCTTTCCTTGGGAATGGATGCACGTCTTCCTTGAGAATATTGTCCCAATGCTTGTCAAGCACTGGACTGGAAAATTCAAGGGTATGGACGCTGGAAAAGAAGATTATGAGATAGTTGATCATATATGGACTGAAATCGGAGCAGAAACTGCTGCTGCAATCGCAAACATTCCTGCTACATTTGTTCGAGTCCTCAGCAATATCGCGGATGATCACTCAAACTTCACAGCAGAATCATGGTCATTCTGGATCATTTACCTTGCCCCAACACTCCTGCGTAATCGTTTTCCGAACACAAAATACCACAAGCACCTTTGCGAGTTAGTTTGGATCATGAAAAAAACACTACAGTTCTCAATCACGCATGCGGAGATCGATGAATTGGAACAGCGGATTGCAAACTGGGTAGTCAAGTATGAAAAGTAAGCAGTCTATTGCAGGACGTGGTAGAACATGGCTGATATCATTATAAGGTACTACTATCAGCATGACGAGTCAAGATTACCAGCCTGCACTCTTCCAATTCACGGAATGCTTCATATTGCTGATGACATTCGTCGATGCGGACCTGTGTGGACCACATGGTCATTTTTCCTGGAGCGCTATTGTCAAAAATTCAAAATAGCACTAAAGTCAAGAGTTCAGCCTTGGGGAAACCTTAACAAAGAAGTTCTATATACGACGTACCTTCAGCAAGTGGTCCTTCGGTATGACGTCCAGGAGGAAGTGTCACTAAGTATTCGGAGGGATTGGTCCCAGCTAACAACGCATGAGACTGTTTTCGAAGATTGTAAGTCACCATCCAATGACTCGAGATAACAACATAAACAGTCCTACCAGATGATGCTTATGTTCTTCGTCCCCCTCGAGTGACTTCATATGAACCTGACCGTGATGAGCGGGTTAAAGTTGCATTGTATTTCAAGCAACTCATTGGCGGAAGGCGAGCAGTGATTGTTGCACGTCTTCCAGCTGTGATGGCACTCTGGAAAAAAGTTCGTATCCAAAATGGCGGAGACAGTATTCGGACGCACAGTGCCACCAGGTCATCCAAAAAGCAAAGGAACTCGTCATACGTTCGAGTGAGTCTACTATATCACACATTAGTTCCAAACTTGACAAGGTTACTTAGTACGAACTTGAATATGAAGACCGTGTAAATGGAGCTCTTCACGTGGTTCAGTTGGTGCAATATGGTCGTCTCGAGAAAATACTGGTTTGCTCGTTGTCAAACGACACTCAGTGGCTAGGGCTTGCTGGCAAAACTCTTCTGCTCGCGCTCATTCGACCATGTCAGACCGAGGGTAGAGATGCTACCAAGGAGGAAGCGCGTTATTCAAGGAACCTTGCCAGCATCATCACCGACCTACGGAATGTAAAAGGAGTTGTAGGGAGGGTCAAGAGTCGCGGGGAATGGACTATCATTGACCGCAGAAGCAGTTTTGCGAAACCAGCCTTTGATGGTGCTGGGTATAATACAGATGAAAGTGAGGCGGAGTAAATGTTGATATATATACATACGAGGAGCTGGAACGTGTACAGTGTATTTAATTGCCGCTTGTCCTGAAAACAGAAGCCTACTTCTTAACAATAGAAACGGCAAACATATGGAGACTGCAGGTCGTGTGCCGAAATGCAGGGAACTGAGCAAACGACATCAACGAATAAGTGATAATCACCGGAAGTGCGGGCAACTCACGCGTCCTCATTATAGTCATTCCCATGAGCATAGTCGTCGCCGTTCTTAGAGGTTGCGATATGGTCTTCTGGCTCTTCTTGGACAGGCAGCGACTTGTCGGGAGTTCGGGTCTTCATGGCCTGCAGGGGAGGTGTATTGCTTGCAAATTTGCTGACCGCAGGCGGCGTGACACGAGCATCGTCGGTGACAATGGCTTTCCGCACAGTGGGCGGCGGACTGGGAACCCTAAGGGAGGAGCTTCCATTAGATTGATATGAGTCCCGCTTATACGAAACGTAGTCCACGTCCACTGCAGTCACACTCTCACCGCCTGACGAGCCAGTAGGCGTGTGGTAAGGGGGAGAATGAGAGGGCTGATTGAGTGGAGATAGGAGTTTCGTCACGTTGGGTGCGGCTTGCGTCAAGGCCGGTGGAGAGGAGGTTCGTTTTGACTGCGGGGGGATGTTTGCAGTGGTGGGACTCGCTTGTTGTGCCTGACGCTGATTCGCAGACTGAGTTGCTGTTCAAAAATATTCAGTACTTGCGGCACTGACGAAGTGAACGCTGAAAAATATTCAGTACTTGCGGCACTGACAAAGTGAACGCTGAAAATTAGTCAGTGTCACAAGTACTGACAGACGTGACTCTCACGTCAACACTGAAAATAATGGGTTCTTTTTTCAGTATCTACGTCACTGGAATATGTCACTCAGGGTTTCTCACGTTTATTTTCAGGGTATTTACTTCCCACAGTGCAGCCGTATCAACATGAAGTTGGAGTCTGGATGGAATTCATATGGCATTCATCTGGTTCTTTCACTCTACCACGTTGATGCGTCCTTCATGTTAGGTTCAGGCTATCGTACTACAGGCCCTGTTTTGGACTGGTCCATACGATGCAACGATTCTCTATTTTCAAACTCAACGTGATTTAGTGCCACTGGCACGTTACATTCTGCACAAGTGTAACGTTTTCCCGATTACCGACCTACGTTTACGATATTGAGACTTAGCTTCTTGCAAGCATTATGGTTCAGTCCAATGGACCAAAGGAGACCGCGGAGGCTGGATCTGCGCCGAGCTAGAACACTTGGCCAACGATGTTCTTCGTGCTTGTCAGGAGGCTAGCACATTGCAAGAACCGGCCGAGATCAATATATGATATAGCAGCAAGCGCACTGTGCTATTACATGGCAGAAAAAAGGCTCCCAGCGTCCATGTAAGTAAGTCTTTGGTGCTGTTGCAGACAGTAAGCAAACGTGAGACACAGTGACGGACACAGCAACTTTCATACTTCG